TCCTAGTTTGTGAGTTTGTAGTGAAATTCCATGGAAGAGATGAACATAGTATGAACATAGTATGAACATAGTAAATTAGTAAATTGTCAACAGGGTTGAGCTTTTGGATACACAATGATAAGCATAGCAGAAATAGAATAACAGTTGGAAGGTACCTTGAAGGTCTTCTAATCCAACCCCCTGCCTAGGTAGGAAATCCTATGGAAATGGTTATGCAACATCTTTTTAAATACTTCCAGTGTTGGAACATTCACAACTTCTGGAGGCAAGTTGTTCCACTGGTTATAATTGTTCTATCAGGAAATTTCTCCTTAGATCTAGGTTGCTTCTCTCCTTGATTAGTTTCCACCCAAGAGCTTGACTCCCTCTTTTTTGTGGCAGCCCCTGAGATACTGGAACACTGCTCTCATGTCTCCTCTAGTCCTTCTTTTCATTAAGACTAGACATACCCAGTTCCTGCAACCGTTCTTCATATGTTTTAGCCTCCAGTCCCCTAATCACCTTTGTTGCTCTTCTCTGCACTCTTTCTAGAGTCTCAACATCTTTTTTATATCATGGCAACCAAAACTGAATGCAGTACATTCAGATATTTTTATTATGGTTCTTAATAAATTTGGTGTGTTCCACAGACCTCTTACCTGGAATGACTCTGCAGCTAATTAATATATGACAAGAAATAAAAGCAGCAAACAGTTTTGATCAAGCTTGTGATACAATAATTGCCACCTATCACTGTCTAGTTTTTAAGAGGCTGGACTACAGTCCATGCTTGCCTGAGGGAATAGCTGAGTCTTCAGACAGTCAATTTGTTTCAGCCTAATTTACCTTACTGGCTTATAAAGAAAATTAGCGTAGGAAGTGCAGTGTGTGTCACTATGAGCTCTTGGAGGAAGGTGGGATAGATTTCGAAGAAATAAATATGCCATTTGCCTGATTCTGGACCTTTTTACCATCCATTTTAGAAACCAAGTATAGGGAAAATGATTCTTCATAATGAGTTGTTTTCCTTTCTTTCTTTTAATGTATGTGCCTTTGAGACAGTTTTTAATTCCTGAATTAGTTTTCTTGCCAAGATTTTTCAGACGTGGGTAGTCCTTATCTGCTTCTCAGGGCTGAGAGAGAACTGCCCAAGGTCACCCAGCTGGCTTTGTGTGCTAGTTTTTATCCTGTTGTCTTAACCCCCACAGTACAGCAAACCAGCTGTCTTGTCTTGATATTATGAGAGTATAACTCAGAGATTTCCATTTTCTCCAATGTAAAAAACCAGTGTAAACAACTAACTTATGTATTGATACTAAAGGTTTGTTTTCCATGGAAATTCCCAGATGTTGGGATAGTACCAAACATTCATTATTTTGATTACACAACAGGTCTTTTGTTGGCATTGGAATTGGAAGATTAATTTTAGATACTTAATTGGGAATTATAGTGAAAAGGATAGAATTGGCAACTTAGTATTTAAGTTAAAGGTTTAGGAGCAAGAGGGAAAAATTATTGTTTCCATGTAGATTAGCAGAACATGAAACTTTCTAATATACATTAATATTAATGAATAGATAAAGTAACTGGTCTCAGTGGCTTAATTCATTTGTGGCTAATATGAGAGATAAAATTTTAGAAGTACATTTTACTCACTGAAAACTGCACTCAAAAAAAAACTACTAAAAAACTACTTTTAATAAGTATAACACTACATTCTATATTTCAGCAGTTAACACATGAATGATATTTGATTGGTATTTAAGGGGAAATTGACGTCATAACCTATAGAAAATGATTCGCCTACATACTAGTTGTCCTCCAGATGGAACTAAGGCACAGTTAATTTTGGGTCTGAGTAATAAGAAAGATGACTCATAAAAATTCATGCTCAAGTTGATAATATATAATATTATGTAAGATCTCTGTTCACATAAAATCCCACAATTTTTGGACTTAGCTATTTGTCAGGATAAAAATTCAGAAACTTATGTTAGAGATTTCTGCTGCTGATATAAACACAAAGCTTGCTAGTTTAACCAAATAAGATATGTGATTCTCTAGAATATTTATTCCATATATTTACTGCTTTAGGGTATTTTAGTTTTGCCTCTTTGAAACTGCTATTGGTGGAAAAGCATGTTTGACTAGAGATTACCTGATGCTTTGTCTTAAAGCAGAAAGAGATAAAGAAGATACTGGACAGTAACAGGACTCTGTTGATGTGATTATTTAGGAATATTGGGCCACTAATTCTTGTACCGTAAAAAATAGTTAATTTTTTATTTATCTTAATATAAAATGTGATGTCTTGAAATAGTTTATATTGCATTCAAATAGGTTAAAGTGATCATTCTGATGCAGAATAATATAGATAATTCATATTATTTATTTGACTGTGGACCCATATTTTGGTAGAAGCTTACAGCAGTAGACAGATTTACAAGAATTTGCACTATAAATATCAGATTAACATATAGGTCTTGATACATTTGCCCAAGGTAAAACTACTCTGAAATTAATATGTGGTTAAAACATTGTAATAACGATAGTGAATGAAGAACAGCCACTGTCATCTATTCATTATTCCTTTGGCTAAGACTTTAGTCTCTGCTACTTAAAAAATCGATCCTTCACCTCATTAATTTTTTGTTATATGCTCAAATGGTGAACTTAAAGGTACATGGGAAACATTTACAGGAGATTTTCTGAAAGAGGCAGGAACAAAAGACATGTCAAGTTGCATTTTAGTTTGCATTCCAAATCTACTGAGCAGGGTTCTTACAAATCAAGTTCTTTCTTGCCTGCCAGACACTGCATTTGTTCCTCAGGTCTGAATACTTTTGACAGTCCATAATGTTAATTGTGCTAAGATAATTAGAAGCAGAATATTCTTCACATTTTCAGGTATACTTATATAAATTATATAACATTATAACATCATCCATACATTTGTCCCAGCATTTTCAACATCTTGTTTGTTGCTCATTGTCTCTGTTTTAGCAATTTGCGTTTATGAACTTCCAGAATAGAACACTGTTCAGATTATATTGTTCTGCCTGTATTGCTTTCTTTCTAACAACTATGGATCATGTAGAATGGTTTCAGCTTTGCTGTGATGGAAACTATGCCCCAGTTGTGGAATTGTTAAAATTCTGACAAGTTTTCACACATGGTTTTAATGGCCAGTTGGCCAGTATTGCAGTGTATTGTAATATAGAAAACATATGAATATTTAGTTTACTTTATTGTCATTGCACCTCGTACAAAGAAATCAAACACCATCTTCAGTGCACATCATGACCATGAAAATAAACACAAACCCTTCACACTCCACACATTGAATTGAAAACCCCGATATGTGTGTGTGTGTGTGTGTGTGTATGTGTATATGTATGTATGTATATATACGTTTTCTTAAGTTTTTGCGGTTACTTACATGTACATGTGTGTATATATATATATATATATATATATATATATATATATATAT